GACATGAAGATATTCATCATTGTGTAGAGTCAGCTGGTCCCATGCTCTGTATGCGCTCTGACAAGACCGCATAAGATTGTATACCAGTTGTTAAGGTGTTCCTCCCAAACATGCAAGGCGGCAGCACCGTATAATGCTTGCCCAGTGGCTAGGAAAGGATCTTACCTGTCAAGAACTCAACCGAGTGACAATCTTAGAGTTTGGTGCTCATGAGACCCTTGTCCGAGAGCGACGCCAGCCGCAGCTGACGCCACGACTGAAAGACTACGGTAGCGAAATGGCCACTCAATGCCTGAAACCAGCCCGAATTCGCATGGGTATGGCGCGGCGATTCGGTTTATCCGAGGCGGATATGTCAAATCTGCGCCAAGTGCAATGGTTCATCAGCCACTACACGAATTAGACGCTCCACCGAAATGATGACCACGACGAGATCCTGGGCCATATCGACCAGCTGGCGTATGAACCCGACGTATCCGACACTAATCCTTTTTCTTTTGGGTGGGAACGTGACGTCCGCGGGAAGCTGGATGTCGGCAACGGCTCTGACGAAAACCGTTTTTGGTGGGTTTAACTACGAAGCCCTTGCTGCATAATGCAGCCCGCGATCCCGGAACATACGTGTTTCACATGGATGCCACCTTCAAGCTAAACCAAGTGGCGTATCATGTCATCGTCTGTGGAGTGTCTGACAGATGTCGGTCCTTCCACTTGGTCGCTCTGTTCATCACTTCGCAGCGATTGGAGAGGCTGTACGTGAAAGCGCTGTCATCTCTTCACAGAGTATTCACTGCTGTGACCGGCCAACAGCTGCTGGTCAAGTACGTTATGGCAGATGCTGAAGCCGGGCTACAGAACGCAGTGAATCAAGTGTTCGGTGTGATGAATATCTCATGTGCTTCTACCACGTGATGGCCAAGATTCATGAAAAGCTCAAGGGAATACCGGACAGCTTGTGCGAGGGTGTGGTCGCGGAAATCTACGACCTTCACTTTGCGTCTTCAAAGGAAGTGTATGACGAACAAAAGCAGATTGTAGTGGCTTAAAGCTAATACCATTTAAGAGATAGTCGAACCCAAAATCTTGGTGACCTTGCCTGATACAACTGCGTTTCCATTGCCACGCAGCCATCAGCTAGAGCGGTACAGGGTCTAGCCCATCAACTCGTCCCGTACAAGCCTTGCAGCAACGGGCCCACACGTCGTAGCCATTGATGATGCGCACTATCCTTTGAGTTGCCGCTCGCAGTTTCCGTCAAGTTATCGCTGCATGTAGTGTCCGTTGTATGTGGTAGTGTCGCCGCCGAGCCAGCCCTGCAGCGGCCGTGGCACGCCGCGCCATCGAAGAATAGAGTAGTGTTCAGTGGTAGTGGCCGTTGTATGTGGTGGTGGTGGCGCCGCCGAGCCATCCCTGCAGCGGCCGTGGCACGCCGCACCTTGATACTTGAAATATGTGCTTGTGCTGGTCCCCCCGCAAATTGATTTGTGAGGAAGCTGGAAGGTGGGGCTGGCTGTCACTGACCGTATC